TGTTATTGCAGGAGTTTGACTTAGAGATCAGAGATAAAAAAGGAAGTGAAAATCATGTAGCTGATCATTTGTCTAGATTGGTTAATAGTGAGGTGACTGCACTGGAACTAGAAGTGGTAGAGGAATTTCCTGATGAGAAGCTTCTAGCAATTCAAGCAAGGCCATGGTTTGCTGACATGGCTAACTTCAAGGCTGCTGGAGTTATTCCTAAGGATTTAAATTGGCATCAAAGAAAGAAGTTTTTCAGGGATGCTAAGTACTATGTGTGGGATGATCCTCATCTGTTTAAGATTGGAGCTGATAATCTTTTAAGGAGATGTGTGACCAAGGAAGAAGCTGGTAGCATTCTTTAGCACTGCCATAACTCACCATATGGAGGTCATTTCAATGGAGAGAGAACTGCTATAAAGGTTCTCCAATCTGGATTCTTTTGGCCAACTCTATTTAGAGATGGTCATGAACATGTACAAAGATGTGATAATTGTCAAAGGACAAGAAGTATCTCTAAAAGACATGAAATTCCCCTACAAAACATTCAAGAAGTTGAGGTGTTTGACTGTTGGGGGATTGACTTCATTAGCCCATTTCCTTTATCATTTTCCAATGAGTATATTTTGCTGGTTGTTGAGTATGTGTCTAGATGGGTGGAAGCAATCCCGACTCAAAAGGTAGATGCTAAAACTGTAGTGAAATTTCTCAAGAAGAACATTTTTACCCGGTTTGGCACTCCTAGAGTGTTGATAAGTGATAGAGGTTCTCATTTTTGTAATGTCCAACTTCAAAAAGTTTTGGAACACTATGGTGTAAGGCACAAGGTAGCAACAACTTACCACCCTCAAACAAATGGTCAGGCAGAGGTATCTAATAGAGAGATTAAGAAAATTCTTGAGAAGACTATTACTTCTTCAAGAAAGGATTGGTCAATCAAATTAGAAGATGCCTTGTGGGCTTATAGAACAACTTTTAAAACTCCTATAGGTCTATCACCATTTCAATTGATATATGGGAAAGCTTGTCACCTTCCTGTTGAGCTTGAACATAAGGCAGATTGACCATAGTTGGAACGACCCGTTTCCAACTAAGGTCTATAGGCAATTTTATAACCTTGGAACGACCCATTCTGGGAAAACAAAAATGGGCCTTTTTACTAAATTGGAACAGTCCGTTCCACTTTTGGAATGACCCGTTCTGCTACCTCAAAATTAGTATATTTTCTTTATTTGGAACGGCCCGTTCCACTTTTGGAACAGCCCGTTCCGGCGTAAAAAAAAATAGATTTTTATAAAACTTTCACAAATAAATAATAAATACTATTATAATAGTAGAAAATCCGGGGTGTTACAATGAGAATTGGAAACAAAAGTCAATGACTAATACTAATAATAGAAATTCTTCTGATGGTTCATTGCATATTAAGATAGGTTACAGTCAATGGTCTCAAAATTGCAAGCCATACCATTTATAGTATGTAATTTTTTTTATATGATTTGAATTTTTTACTGAATTATGTGAACATAGAATCATTTCACCTTATTGGTTGTGCTCAATTTTAGTTTCATGCAATGTGAAGTGCCACCATCTCTACATCTTCGTTTACTAATTGCTAAATTCAATGAGATTCATGTGTATGTGGTGTTGCATCTAGGTTTACAAGTTACTAATTTCATTGGAATTCATACTTATCTAGTGATGTTGCTCATAAGTTACATCTTAGTCTTTTTACTAAGTATTTTTGTGTGTTCTTCTTGCATGATTCTCTGCATCATTCATGACATTCATGAGATCTTCTATTGTCATTAATGTTTATATACTTTTGTTTCTTACTTTTCTTTTTATTGAATGAATATGAAAGACGGTTATCTGAAAGACAATCACAACAATTATCGGGAGATCATGCTGCCTCTAGTGTACAATCTGAAAATAGTATTTTCTATGATGTTTTTGGTGGTGTGAACAATAAAGGAAGAATATTTGGTTTAGGTTCAGAGGCTGGGAAGTATAAACCTTCTTCTTCTACATTCTTAGATGGTATCTCAAATCCTGAGTATGAACAAATGAAAAATCTTGTTTCAAATTTGCTTGAAGAAAACAAAACATTGAAATAACAATTGCAAAGCCATGTAGATTTGATTCGTGCTTCATAGGAAGAG